TTTTTTTTTTTTTTTTTTTTTTTTTTTTTTTTTTTTTTTTTTTACAGGCATGTGTGATTTTCATTTCATTTTCATTTTCTGTTCACTTGTCGAGGAGACTGTGCCTTCACCAGAGAAGTTTCAAGTTTTCCATTCATTATTTTTTTGTTAAGGAATTTTTTGTTCTCGAATTCATAATTTTTCAGTAATGTTGGAGCATTTTTTTAGGGTCCACCCATGACACTTCTTTTTCCATTTTGTTTGACATGGCACAGTTGGAAATAAAAGATGGCCACTCTAATTGATCATGTGTTGTCATTTTTTGATATATTTTGATGCCAATTACTTCTTGTTGGGTATATTATATTGGGTAAAAATCACCCGGCGTTAGTGATGGTGTTACTATTTATAATGATAGTGTTTTAGGGTTAATTATTATATTATTAATTAATTACTAAAAATTGTTTTTCTATTATTAATCAAAAATAATATTAATTTCTGTTTAATTATGGTTTATTTTGAAGATGGTAAAGATTTAAAGGACTGTTGGTCTCACAAGAGGAGATATGATTTTGGTAAATAAGGTCAACTGTGGGATTAGTGCAATTCATGGCCATTTTTTCTCTAATTTTTGCCACAGTAATTTCAAATACCTTGGGAGTATTTTGACTACAGCATATCATAGACATGGCACTGTCGTTCACCAGTGCTGACCAGTCCCTTAAAAGACTGTCTCTACATGCGTTTTGGATCATTGGTGGAAATACGAAAGAATAAATTGTGTTTTCACCACGTTGTAAATGTGTTTCACGTGAACAAAAGGAATTTTTTGCCAGTGTTTTCAGCTCAGACACATAAGATTCAATTTTCTTACGGCAGCTCTCTTTTTCTTCTTTTTCACTAAGTTTCCTGATATTTTGGAAGATTTCAGTGTTGACTGTGAAAGACTTCAGTTTGAAGTGATCACGCTTCCATCTTTGACTGTCTTCATAAAACACACCGCATGGACTTAACATGTTGGTAGATGAGCAGGTGGGAGTTTGGAAACAATTTTGTTTATAAAATTGTGTGAATGCTACAGTTGTGGAAAATCCATATTTATAGCGCCAGAGATAAGCTTTTCCAAGAAGTAGACACGAACAGCCTAAACAAGGACTATTGAATGTATAAATCAGAATAGTCTCCACTAAATTTCCATTCTGTTGCAAAAAAGGTTCAAAAGCTTCACATAAACGAGGCTCGCTGTGCTTTATTTTTCCAGGATTTTCCCTTTTTTCATAATCTGGCTGAAATGCTGGAGAAACAATGATATTTTTACTATGTTTCATGACAACAATAGCAAATGCATACTGCTTTTGTTCATTACTCTGAAGGTATTCTTTCAGAAATGGAAAAAATCTGTTTGGATCAACACTTGAAATTTTTTTCTGCATTTCATCAATTATTAAATGATAAAATTTCTCATCCTTGTTATTCTGTCGATGAATCGGTTTACATTCATCCTTAAGCTTCATTTCTTTCTGCTCTTCTATTCTACAAGTATTGAGTTGTTTCACTTCAGCTGCTGTCAATATCTCAGAAAAAATGTGTGTATTGAAACTTTTAACTTCGGATAAAAAAAAAATCTGATTGCCAGGTATGCTGAGAATTTTTGAAGAAAAAAGAATTTCAGAGAATTTGATATTTACACGATTTCTTTTTGATTTCTTAGGAACTGGAAAAACATTTGAAAATGCGTATTTTCTTTTGAGGAGGTTATTAGATTTTGTTTTGGATACAGTATGAACCTGAATTGATTTCTCACACCAATTTTTAAAGATAACACGTCGAAAGTTGCAGTCACCTTTATGGAGATAATTAAATCTGGATGATATTTGTGGTTTTATTTTGGTAAATGCAGTGGGTTTTTTTTGCTTGTGTTTAAAAATGTGATTTTCTTTGTTATGGAACAAGGGTGGTGATTTCTTAGCTGTAAAAAGAGTAAAAAAAAATGTATGATTAAGGAATTCACAACTGCTTTAACTGCATTATTTAAAGGGTTGGATGATCCAAATTACAAAAAAGATTTTCTATATGGTATCCCAGTTAAAACCACAATAAGAAACTTTCCTCAGAAAGTAAATAAATGAGTCAAAACACAATCCATGAATTTGCAAACTGTTTGAACAAACATTAAACTAATAATATGATACATCAACTTTTTTACCAGTGATATTTTGCATTTTCCTTCCTTTAAAAAAAAAGAGAAGAAAACCTGAATTTACTCTCTTTGAATTTGTTGCCAGCAACAAATGTTCTCCAAAAATGAAGCATCAGTAAATACAATTTTTTTAAAAAAATCATGATTCTCATTGGTGTATGACCAAAAACCTGACAGCATTCCACTTTTTTTGCTCTTCGCTTGGACTTAGTCTAAACAGATGCGCTGATGAGCTCCTGACAATGTGATTTCCATTTCATCATCATAACTGTTTTTAATTGACTTTGTCCTTCATGTGTAGAACAGAGGAATGTTTCTTACATTGCCTTAACCAGGACAGAAGACAAACCACAGGAGGCTATAGGCAAAATGTTTTGCTGGCATCAAATTCAAAATAAGCTGGTATAATTGAAAAAAAAAAAAGTCTAATTGAACATTGTATGATTTGTGCCTTAACTTTAACTTAAAAGTGTTTTTTTTTTTTAATTAAAAAAGACAAGTAAAAATAAGACAAAAAATAAGATAAAAGTAACTACTACTTTCTTTTTTTTAACTTCCAAGTTTCAAGAAAATGTAAAGGAAAACATATGGGCTCAAATTGTGGTCATAAATATTTTGTACTTGTAAATCAGGATTTGTATGTGTAAAAACAATTTGTGTGTGCGTAAAAAAAGATTTGCGTGTGGACTTATCCAAAAAGTATGTGTGAAGGACCTGAAGCTCCATAAAGCACCCCTCCAATAGCCAAACCCACCTGTTCTCTGATTGGATAGTTAAATTTGTGATTGACAAGACATTGGCCAATCAGATGAAAGGAAGAAAAATAGGGTCAAATTCATACTTGTAACTTGAAACTTGAGTGCAGAGTTTCACACGTATTTTTTGGCTAAGTCCACACACAAACCTTTTTTACACACACAAATTCTTTTTACACATACAAATCCTGATTTACAACTACAAAATATTTATGACCACAATTTGAGCCCATAAAAACAAGCGTTATTAACCTACCGTTGGTATGTATAGCCATGTTGCTGTAACAGATAATTGAGATCATTAACATTTTAACTTAATATGGGGAAACAGAATATACAGTCAGGTTTGCAATTATTTGAACAATGACTGAATGCAAAATTTTAATAAAACACTTTAATTACAGCTAAAGGTCTGAACTTCAATCACATCTTTAATCAAACAAAGGGGAAATTCACGAAAACTGTGTTTCTGTCCAAGTACTTAGGGACCTAATTGTATATGCTACACTTGGAATAAAAACAAAGAAGAAAAGATTTTAGAGACAGTTACAGTTAATATCAGACTGAGATGATGTAAAATACTTGCTTTTTATGGCTTAAAAATAGATGCTTTTCCATGGTAATGGGCTGATGAATCGTGGTTGTGGTTGTAGTTGGTTTGAGCTGATTTACGTCACTGGATTCTCACAAAAAGTTGTTACGATTTTTCAACCTAAATAGAAAAAATATTACACATATTACCACAGCATGTTAGATACCATACACTGAACCCTCTCTAGCTGCATATTATCACAGTCAAATCTCATTTTTATTGCATCATTCACTCTTGTGTCCCTGTGAAACTACATGCAGCAGGTATCTGCCCTACTTTTATAGATGTTTCTTGTTTTTGTCCTCCCAGCTGTTTCAGTTTCTTGTGCAAGGAAAGTGTTGTCCTATCAAGCTTTCTTTTAAAATTGCCCGAGGTGATTAATCTGTGCATATGCATGTATACATATAGCTATCTGTAAAGTAAGGGACAGCGAGACCTGTGTGTAGATAAGATAACTGCTCTACGGTACTGAACAGGTTTACTTCATCAAGCTATCTGAGCCAAATAAGCTGATACCAAATCATTGCTTTTCTTTTTGTGTTTTGATAGTAGTAAAGCTGAAACAAACATGCTTTTTTGATCCATAGAGTTTGTTACATTGTTCACCTCACTGCCTAAGCTGCCACAGAAACTCTGATTTGCGTTTTAACCCTTGTGACAAAGTATAAGTATAAAAACAGGATACAAAGAAACTTACCTACGAGGCAGCAGATTCGCTGGTTCGCTGATTCGCTGGTTCGCTGATCAAAAAGGACGTTTTGGAAGATCTGACAGGATTTTATAACAATTTCTGACCATGTGACCACTCTAACTCCTCCCCTTTTCTACCTGATCATTTCACAAGTATATTGAACACAAATTATCTTAAATTTCAACGAGAATAGTAGAGTGTGTTTTGTGATCACATCTTCTAATCACTAAAAGTGTATCCAGTCACACAAGTTTATTTCCATTAAAAATCAGAGATTGTATCATGACTTGCCCTCAGTAAGCATAATCACTTGAACCAGGAAACAACAATGTAGAACAGGTTTACTTTCAGTTTAGCTTCTCTGAAATTACTGTGATCAGAACAATAATATCACTGTAGATAAAGCCTAAGGGCTTTATTGATTAATTGAAAATTCTTATGTATACTGTAAAGTGTAGAAGTAAATTTAAATCTAATTTGATATACAAAGAGGTGTTTACAAGGGTTATAGAGCTGGTTATGTAGCTATTTGGTGGTTACGTGTTTTGATATTTACATGTTTACACATTTGAATGTTTACACATGCATGTTCAAAGCAGTAATAAGTATGTGTTATATCTACCTACTTGTTTTCCCTGGATTGATCTGAGTATAAGATTTCCTAGCTTCTGAGAGGCCAGTGAAGTATTCATGAGAGCGGTACACAGGAAGTGTTGGTTGTTGTTGCTGTGTGCTGAGAGTAAGGAGGCTGCTAAGAAAGTTATCAGTCTCCATCTTGCTGTTCCTAATTATTCAGAGAGATTCCAAACCATCGAGTGAACCCTCACGTTACAATAGACAATGTAAGACTATTTATACTCATATTCTTGCAAAAGCCTGATGTTTTAGGTGAACCCCCTCGAGCCCTGATGTCTGAAACAAGAGTTAAAAAACCTTTTAGTTAGAAAAATGAAACTGCTTTCATCTGTCCATTTCCAAAACCAGGTTCAGCTGCATTATGTGTGTTTAATAAATCACTTTTTGGACACTCCCTAGGACTCTGTCTGCGCTTACTTTTCCTTCCAAATCAAAAAGAACCTTACAACAGACAATGTTGTGTACTCACACTAAACACTAAAGGAAATGTTTGCATTCTCCTGGACTGGCAAACATTTTGTAATCATCTCTCTGAAAGTTCCTCTGTCAGTTCTGAACTCCAATAAGAGATCTTAAACATCTCCTCAATTACAAACTCAGAAAACTACCATCACATTTTGATCCAACATGCAAAACTATCTGGAAATTGTCTGACTGGCAATGGCTTCATTAGGGGACCTGATCCTTGGGGTGGACCAATTTTTGGCACAGCATGTTTTGGGGTTTAAAGCCACAGAGACTCTGTGTTTAGAAAAAAATGTGTCTCAGCTGTTCTGATACTCCTGACACATCTGGGATGACTAACGGTTTTTGGTTAGACAGCAGTTGCCCTTCTTCTCTCCTGGATCACCTCGAGGTTTCTTTAGCAGCCTTCCCAGCTTGGACAAATATCCTGCTGGGATGATCACTTTTACTCAGGGCCTTCTTGATATAATATTCTTTTGTTTTCTCCCAATGAAAACGTTACATCTAGATAGACAGATTCAACTTTTGGGGGTTTCCTTATTTGGATGATTGAGCATGTATCAAAACGATAAAAGAAAACCACACGTCAGCCATGGACTGGCCTCCGAAGACTGTGGACCTCAACATTATTATATTATTGTAGCAGCGTGGGATCATCTTGACATAGAAGAGAAGAAAAGGAAGAAACATCAAAAGAAGAGCTTTGAATGCACTTCAAAAAACCTGGAGAACTACTCCTGAACACTACTTTAAAAAAAATTCAACGTAGCTTTCCTGAGAGAACATGATGCGTGATAAGCAGATGACCTAACAAGGAAAAAAACAAAACTCACACAATATATGGAGAAGGGTGATGGGGGAAGTGGAAACACTAGGGGTACGAATTAAGCATGAGGAGACAGGAGGAAGTAAAACTAAACCCACTGAACACAGAATGCGAGGCTGTAAGTTACAAATAAAAATAATAAGGCTTTAAAGTAAAACAGGAAGTACACGAACCCCCAAACCTGACACAGGATTGGGGATAAACAAAGACAGAGACATGACATACTTGTGTTTTATGGATTACAGAAGACCTCTTTGGATTTGCTGTGGCTTTGTGGTCAGACAACACCAAAGATCCAAATGACATGTGGCTTTTTTTATAGCGTATATCATGATTTACACAGGTGGTAGGATGCAGTGAATTCTCACAACATGCTGTGTTGGTTTTTCAAGCTGAACAGAAAAAAAAGTTGCATGCATTATGGCAAATGGACGGGTTCTTATACATCGATTTTCTACTTTATCTGAGCACTCAAAGCGTTTTACACAACTTGTGCATTCACCCAAGCACTGTTTCTAATTCCTATCTAACATTCACACACATTCATACTCTGATGGATGCATCGGAGAGCAACATGGGGGTACTATCTTGGCATATAGACTGGAACAGACTGGGATTGAACCCCCAAGCTTCCGGTTAGTAGGTGACCTGCTCTACCAACCCATAAGCACAACACATTCAATGACACACACTGAAAGCTCTCCAGCCCCAGATCCACACCTCACTGTTTTTACGTCATTTTCTCTGGTATGCATGTGAAACTGGTTGTAGCAGGTGTCTTGTGACATTTCTCACATTTTCTCCCTGCTATCGTGAATCTGATGTACATAACAAAGGCTTGTCTTTGAACGTACTTTACCCTTAGAAAATAAAATGCCTGTGGTGACTGTGTGAGACAAAAAAAGACATTATATGTGTTTGGTTTCTGTTCTTAGAGTCAAATTTTAATCTGAAAGTTCTGCTTTT